ATTCTGTGTGATTTTGACCCTAAAGAATTGTGCCTGCATATTTCTGCTTAGATGACATCGGCCTATTGGACTAGAACTAGTATCCAATGGAAAGGACGAAACCCCTATTAGGCATTTTGAAAGTCGCGATTCGCAGACTGAATGCAGTAAACTGAACTCATTCCATACTGAAATGCTGAAGATGGAAACAACACGGCTACGTGTCGCCAAAATTGTGACGAATGTGTGCCTCCTAACTGACAACTTTCGCGTCGCTTTAGTACCTCGTCCCACAATCCAATGTTGTTGTCTTGATATTTTTTTTCTACAATGATGACAACTAGAACAGGAGGACCACAATCGCTGTTTACCCGAACAGAACTAAATTGAATAGTATCTGGCAGTCATTGTGACCGTCGAAGTTGATATGCCAGTCAATTTCTGATGAAACATAGAAACAACTAAATTTATACCTCTCGTAGCCAAAATACGGTTTTTTTCGAGAGTGAATTGCCTTCACCAGGTAAATATGTGATCTACTGTGTCATCGGGATGGGTGAGTGTGAAAGTTTAGTGATATGAGCGTTGACATAACAACTGCGTGTAAGCATTTGAATTCATTTTTGATTAATATACTTACGCGTTTTTTCAGAATAAGAGATAAACAAACCATCCCACAATAAAGATCAATAATCCATCGATCAATCAAAAACAAGTTCTTTTTCCAAAAGAATACGTGGTATATGTTGAAAATTTTTCTTTGACAAGCTTTTAGTGCGCTACCTGATGATTAATTAACATGACCAAATCTCTACTTGAAAGTTGTTCAACATAAAATTCTGATAGAGTCTACTCCGTCAAATTGGGAATTTATGTAGTCAGTTTTGAAACACTGTCGCAAGGGACTGGCACACAATAAATCATCCACTTAAGTAATGTAGTTATCATTTCTCAGTATCAGAAATATATTACATTATAAAATGCGATAATCGGAATAAAATCTTTGTAGGATTGTTTGAGCCCAACCTTGATACACAAACCCATTCCAAGTACAAAAAGAAATGCCTCGGTTACCTGATGACCTTGAGGTCTAAGAGCCCTTCCAAACCGTTTTCTGGTCTGACTGAGAAACCTCCCGATCTTTGCAAGATGAATTCACATCTACTTCACTTTGCGCTCGATTTTATAATGCAAATCAAGAGGAGAAATTATCAATCCCAGTGTGTATCTTTGCGTAGCATCATAATAGACCGCAAGGTCTGCCATTATCAGTGAGTATTATTTTTGTCCTCTTCTTCACCCCAACAGCGTTTTATCGAATATATTAGGACTCAAATCACAGGAAAGGGCAGACGACCAATCAAATGTTTGCCATACAACACATTGAGAATAAA